TTGGTCAAGACTCTCAAGATATAGATGACTATAGGCACCCCATGCTTGTTTTAAGTGTAAGGTTTCAGGAGCATTTTTTTAATCCAGTCAGCAGATAACTCTTCAATGATTCAACCTTTTTGGGATTGGTTTCATGAACAGGTGGAGAAAGGGTTCGCTTTTTTTCCAGGGAAACTAGCTCCTGGAGCTACAGGGAGCTCCCCAACCCCTTTGGCTAGTTATCAAACATTGTAACAACAAAATATAAGAAATTCTAAGAACATGTACTGTAAAAAAGAATGCTAATCCCTTCCATGGATTTTTACATGTCACCTGCCAGGATTTCGGACGTGGATACATCGGCACAACCGCCTTCTAAAACAGATCGTGCTCCCGCTCCCATCCCGCAAACCCACAGCGAACCCGAACGGCAAAGCCACGAAGCCGCTCACATCGACCGAGGCATGGCGAAGCTGAAGGAAGAGATCGTGGAAGGAACGAAGAAGACCTCCTTCCGTGAAGTCCCTTGGGCCGGCAGGTCTGGCGGTCGGAAGTGCTGCGGAAAGCGCGGCGACCGCAGACCGCTGGGGCGGTCTGCGGTCTGAGTGGACTTGTAGACTCTACTATAGGCTCTTGAGGTAGATAAATCATCATATACCCACCCCAGTGTTGGATTGAAAAAACATCTTCCTATAGGGGGGGTTTAAGTTTGATAGTGGTCCTGGAGAAGCCACCCCGAGATGGAACTTGCGTTTAGTGAGCGTTTGCTCATTATTTGTTTTTGTTTGTCAGGCTCATGGCTGGCACGTCTCGTTTGGTGGTTCTCATTTCTTCTCACGTGGCCAGAGACTCTTTGGAGGGTCAGATCTACAACACTCTGGACAACCTCCTTGTTTGAAGAGAAACTGGTGGTAGACGTTCTGAGCGAATGATGCAAAGGTATTAACAGTGGCGAGATGGAAGCGCTTTTGGGGTTTGGTCACGGTTTGGTCACTGCAACGGCTTTGAGCGGGCAGTGATGCAGTGATGCATAAGACATCAGAATTCTGTGAGCAAATGAGCACGTTCACTCCTTTTGGCCCTGTCAGAAGTTGCCAGAGGTATGAGATTGGTTGGGCTCGAAAAGGTGTAGAAGAACTATATCCCAGACACGACACTCCATCGGACGGTTTCCCTACTTTGGGGGTCAATGCGTTTCATATTCCAGTCTCATGCAATGTTTGCAAACTGTATGAGAACCCTAATCAACTCTCTTTGTGCACTGGGGATGATGGCCTGACCCAACCAACGTCGTGGGCTTTCAACCAGTGATTTCATACAGGCGGCCTTCGCCCTACAGATGCCCCAAAGGGCCCCAAACTCTAGGTGGAGAGCATGGTGCAAACCATGTTATGACAACTCTCAAGAACATTTGAAGGTGCAGCAGTTGGTCTAATTGGTCTAATAGGCAGATCAAGGCAATTTGAGAATCTTCACCAGACCATGTGTGAAGCAGCGCCAAGCAGTCAAACTTGTAAGGACCTGGACAGCAGCAGCGATGAAGAGGACGAGTACGACTACGAGAAGATACGCCTGAAGCATGACCTGACCTGGGTTTTTGCAGTTTCGGGTGAGCCTTTCTTTTCCCAAACGGAGTGACATCCGCCTATCATGGGGAGTTTGTGTTTTTGATGTTGTTACATTCCCCGCAAGTCGCAGACCTCATTTCACACTCAATGAGGTCGGTAGGGCTGGTAGGGATCTCCATCTCTAGGATCTTCCAACTGTGACCCATTTCGGCCTTTTTCACCCGTAAGACGAAAATAGCCAAGTTCGGCAGAAATGTTGATGTATAAAAAGACCCCTGTTTGGTTTGCAAACCCTCTCTATGTGGGTATATCTTCATGTTCTCGTTCCGGACAACCTGTTTTTGCAAGGATGTCCGCCGAAAGAAGACGGGTCGTAAATGTAATTTGGGAACATGTGTTGAGGGAGGTAGCCATTTTTGAAGTACCAGGAGCATGGCTTTTGCCAAGCTGATATACCCCACACATCCCCACACTACCTAGTTGGGCTTCCAGACAGGGCACCCCGACAGGAGATCCTTGGAGGGTCCTGGTATGTTTTGTAAGTTCTTGATCCACAGGTCGAAGCTTCGCTACTTTCGATTCTTCAGCCCCCAGCAAGGCGGTGGGGGTGGTGACTTCGTCCACATCCAGTGGACCATCGGCACCCCCTTGGCCCGGCCAGTAGGTATAGGCACGACATGGGATCTGGTTTGATGTGCCACCACGGACCAAGAGAGGTTAAGTGACCGGACCTTACTGGGGTACCAGACTGGGATAGTCTACAGTTCTTCAACCTCTTCCTGAGTTCTTTTCGCTTCCCTTTTCACTCGATGTACGTCTCACTGCTTTGCCCCAGGAAGAGTCTCTCCCTTCGCTTTCGCACCTTGCATTTGCTGCAGAGGATTGAGGATCTCCAGGCTGCATCGGCTGAAGGGGGTCATAAGATTTGGGAAAGAAAGAGACTGTTCCACTCACAACCTCACTCGAAAGATTTGGGGTGACTGAGATGTTTTCGGGCCAGGGCAGCCTGGCGCCAGTCGTAGCTGAGTGCTGAGTGGTAGCTCTTTCGTCCTCGGCTTGACCGAGCTGCCCAGAGACCAACAGTTGACCCTGAGAATTCACCCGTGCTTTCGACCATTTTCCGAAGACCAACCCAGTGGTGCCCTTGGGGCGCAGGAGATTGGAGGAACGTACATCTCAGCTGAAGGGACTGGACCGCCATCAAACAATCTAATGGTGGTGGTTCAACCCCTGACATCAGACGCCTCCAGTCCGAAGTCCATGGGAATTCTCGGATTTAGGATGATTTAGGTATAATAATATACCAGGGGCCCCACAAACCATCAAAAACCTTGTTTTCCCTAGCGAAGAAAATGTTTTTGTATAGAACATGTTTTTTCATGTTTTTGAGGGGTTGTGGTATATTTATATCATTTGCTTTCCACCCGTTTTCGACCAAAAGGGTCACTTCCGGGATGTTATATAAGTAGCGTAGCTTCCGGAGCTTTACCACCAGTGGACTGCCAGGATCAAGAGAAGGTGAAATTGCCTAAGTTGAAGCTCAGCAAGGCCGGGCTCCAGCTCACCCAGGCGGGGGCTCCAGCTCAGCCACGCAGGGCTCCATGTGAAGATGGAAAGAAATGAGACAAAGAACCACATCACTGATCATCACTGGCACGAACAAGAGACTAGTGCTCGGGATGGTCACCAGATCAGCCCAATGAGTAACAAGAGTGCCGTGCTTTTGCAGAGTTTAGCAGTGTTGACAGGATCCAGTCAACTAGTTGTTGGCCAACAACCTGAAGGGGAGGGCGGTCAAAATCACTGGCGGAGGTGAAAAAGTCAGGCCGTCCCAGGTCACCATAGATTCCCTATGCACGCCTATAGTCACGCTTATATATATAATATATATATATAACCTGTATTCTTAGTCTTCGGACATCTCTTACGTCGTCAGCAGACTCTTGTGGCGACTCCAGGAACCAACCATCCCCGAATGCAGTCTGCATGCTGAGTCTGCATGCTTAAGCGCCCCTCGCCAGGCACCTCCCAAGAAGGCATTCTTGAAGAAGAAGCGCTCACCCTATGATCTAGCTTAGGCGGCCCGATCTTTGCCCAGACTTGTGCACCGCAGGCGGTGATCGAATAAACGTGCCTCCGCGTGCTATGCAAATTGCATGGCACTCGGCAGGGCATCATGGGGATTTTAAATGTTTTTTGTGCGCCACGGGCAGCAGGCTCTCATCACACGCACCACATGACCTATAGATAGTGGTTTGTAGGTTTGTCACTGGTTTGCGTTTCACGTTCAGCTGAGCTGTGCCACAAGCGTTACTAGGTGATGGTTTCGGATACTTTTATTTTCAATCCTTACTTGGGGATGATTGGACCCTCTGACTAATATTTTTCAAATGGGTTGAAAACACCAACCAGTTTAATATAATGCTTGTCTCCATCAAACTCCCATTTTTATGGGCCCATTTCGAGAAGTGTCCGCTTGGATTTACAGCTGTCCGTGGAGCCAGGCACGTGTGTTTTGTGCCTCCAAGAGGCCTCGACTTATCAGCCTCGGCACTCGGAAACGAGAGGACGACTGAGGACTCAGAAGCTGGTCCAAGCAACATGGCGTCAAATGATGTCAAATGGTTAAACCATGTTAAACCTATTATGTATATTGAAATAAGATATTACAATGTATTTGCATTGTGTACATGTCAGTTGAAGAAACGTTTTTGCACCTTGCTTTTGACCAGCTGCCGGAACAAAACCCAATGCTTTTCCCTAGAGCGCCACTGACAGCATGGCCTTCATCGGGAAACTCAATTTGCTCATTCGCGCGCCCCCGTGGTGTTGCCAGATACAACGGTGTGGAACATTGGACTTCTAAAGGTTCTTGCCGGCTACGTGTTAAACATACCTCTAGGTGCTTTGGAGGAGGGCGTGTTCATACCTGGATCTTCCAACTTAAAATTAATGTTTGCCTTTTCATTCATAAAACTAACATAAACTAACCGGGTTGGGCAGAGATGATGCATAGTTGGAAGAACCTGGTATTCCCCTTGGAACAGGGGAGCTGTTTGAAGCCGGAATTCCCTGACCAAATATCATGCCTTCTTTTTTGCAACCGCCTGCAGCAAGCGCGTACTTCCAACGAAGGCACGTCCGTTCCAAAGAAGCAACGGTTCCAACGTTTTGACAGGTTGTTGGCGTGTTCGGTACCTAGCACTTCCGGGCGCCCTGTCTGGAGACTTAGTAGGGTATCTTAAGGTGATGGTTCTTCCCGAACTGGGGGAATCCCCTGAACACTGGGGAAGATTTATGGCGTGTTCTTCTCCCCGCACGTTTTCCATGATCGTTCACGATCCCCGGTGTGGTCGTCTTTGGCCAGAATCGCTCTGGTTCCGCTGGCGCAGCCTGGCATCCGCTGGAGTTCCAGACCGCCGATGGGCTGAAACAAGAGCCGACGGGACTGAGGATTGGCTGAGTACGTCCGCCGCGGGTGGTGATGCTGGACCCATTCGACTGACGCCCATGGGCGACGAGCTGCGAGATGAAGGCCACAACCGTTGGGGGCCTGGGCGATGAGGGGCCAAAACAGGGTGTTGTGATGTGGGATGCACAGGCCACACATTTAAAGGATTTTAACGGTATATATTGATATATATATATATACTGTAATAATGCATATTAGTAGTATTGGATGTCTATATTTTGAGTTAGATAGCACTGGCTGGCTGGTTGAGCTTCATGGTGATTTCGACATTTCAGTGGGGTCTTCTCAACGCGTTGGGAGCCCAAAGGCCCTGCAGCAACAATTGAAGATTGTTTGATGCCAGGCGGTCGGGGATGCTTGGTCGCTTGGCACGGCGATGACGGCTCATGTTTTGGACCATGTGTTTGCTTCTCGCGATTAAGAAGAAGAAGGAGGAGGAGGAGACAAACAGGAATAGGATGGCAATGCTCCCACCTTCGATAGAACATGTTTCAAGTTAAAAACATGTGAGGTTGGGGAAGTTGGGGAGTCTTTCACATTTTCAGAGTTCTGTTTCAGCACCTCAGGTGCCAGTTCCCACGCAGGCGCGCGCCCAAGCGCGCGCCACTCCTGGCACTCCGTGCGTCGCTCAGGTCTTGGTGTCGCAGATTGCGGGCGCCTTGGATGCCGAACGCGGGGGAAGAAGATCGGCCACCGTTGGACGCGAAGCTCCACTGAACTCAGGAGTTACCGCACTGAAAACGCACATACACGCTGACGAACACATCACATGGAAGTGGATGGCATGGCCGCTTGGAAGACAGGGGGTTTTCCACTTCCATGCTAGTGAGTCGGAGTGTAGACCCTGCAAAACCACTGGTTTGTAGAAGAAAAGCAGCCTGACTGAGGGTGCCTGCCTCGACCCGGGTCCATGCCTCGACCCGGGTCGCGCACCCTCCCCGCGAAGTGGAGTGAAGCCCACCTGTTTGGCATTCTGATTTTCATGGTTCTTTTTTTCCGAAAAAGATGCCATCCACGCCTCCACAATTAGTTGCAGGCAGGGAATCAGAGAACCCGGAAGATTATCCAATGTGTTCTCCCCAAGGTCAACACAACAGAGAATTCTCGAACTCCGGAATGTCTCTGTGCCTTAAACCACCGGACCTGTCCTCCTCCGTGCCTTCCGCTGGGCGGCGCCTTGCGCTGCGCGCCCCAAGGTGTGGGCTCCGTGGCCGAGGCCCAGCGTCTCCTAACGATGCTCCGCGGCCTTCGGCGGCGCTTCATCGAGCACGGTCTGGAAGGCGTGGAAACCGGGCCCCGTTTTGCTCCGCGAGGACAGGAGGAAAGCTGGGAAAAGCAGAGGTAGCCCGTGACCGGACCCAAAACATATCTGGTACCAGACTGGGATCGCCGCAACTAGGGCTCTGACCCACCTCAGTTGGTGGGAAAAGGGAGGACAAACATTGTAGAAAAACTCGAGACATGGATGCGAAAAGCCGTGACCAATTGTTGAGCCCTTTTCGTGCATCAACGACTGCCCAAAGGCAGACATTTGTCACAGGTCCAGGATGTTCCAGGTATGAAAGGGTGCAGGAACCCAGATACGATCATTAATTGGAAGATACTGCATTGACCCTAAAACCATCTAAAATCACCCCAACTGATTGATAAAGTCTGCCAGTCCCATGGAGTGTTTGATGAAGGTGGATGGATGATTCTAATGAATCCTGGGCTTGGTGGATCAGGTGATTCTTGGATGTTTCTCTTCTCGGGCTTCTCACCCCTCGGTCCTAAGAGTTGATGTGGTTCTTCCTGGCTCCTCCAGCAACCTCCCACAGTCTCATTTTGTTCTCATTGGGCGCTGCTTTTAAAGCCCGTGGCAGGGGCACTGCCAACAGAGGTTAAGTGACCGTAAATAGGACCCTACTGGAGTAGCTATGGGGTAGTCTATAGGGTCCTTCAACCTCTGTTGGCGGTTATGGGACTGCGGGAGGTTGTTGCTGAACATCTTATTTGTTCTTGGGCACTGCCCAACTGGTTCTGAGCGGTCAGCGGTCAGTGTCTCGATGGTTGGGTTTGTTGGACGCCGCTTGTTTGGGGTACAGGATGGTCTCTCATTCCACTATCGTGCGCACTCTGTCACGCAGAACTCCCCTCCAGCCGTTCCATCGAGGGGAACTTAAGAGCTCTGAATGAGCTCTTTTCTGGACGCCAAAGCCCATGAGGTTGGCAGGATCGACGAGGCCCGCCTCTACCAACGAAAGTGTCTTCGTGATCAAACCCTGAGAGTCCCCAAAGCACTCCGATGTCCGACCAACGTCTCAGAGTCTTAGGGTATTGATATGTCTTGGAATCCAAGAATCCAAGCGTTCGTTCACTGTTCCAACAGCCATGATGTGACAGGCTGGCCGCTTTTGACCCGAAGTCTGAAACAGCTGCATGGTCATACGCTCCCAGTGCTCCCGGCATCCTTCACATGTCTGTGACAGGCTGGGCGGTACGCTCTTCAGCATCTGGGCAGGGAAAATGGAAGTTCCAAAGGTGCCAGAAGTGTCCAGTGAGTTGACCTAGACACCACTCATCTTGGGAAGGCCTCTTGCAGATTCTGAAGTCAGCGCTTGACCCCAAACTTCTGTGTTTGACAAAAGTCGGTGTTTCCGGAGATTCGCTGCTGGTGTTGGGCGGCTGCCTCATGGAGGTTCTGCCATACATGTGTTGCCAAAGTACTTAGCCAAAGTGCTTGCCAACTGGAAGAAAAGGTGGTCACTACTTGGAATGAGCAGCTTCTGACATCAAAACGCATTTCCGACTTGGGGCCGCTCCAACAGTGACCCCTGCTGTACCAGACCTGAGTGTCAAACCAGGCGGGACCTTCTACCATGTTCTACCCTCCGGTGTTCGCGGGAGAGCGCTCTGACCGCACCTCTGAATGGATTCGTGGGGACCAGAGGTTGAAGGACCCGAACTAGACACACTGAACCTGTCGGAGCTTCAACCATCCAGTCTGTTCGACCTTCGATCCATAGCTCGACATGTTCGAGCCGCTCTGGAAGAAGCTCCCGGAGCTGGGCGGTCTCATTCCGCAAACCTGGCAGTCTGTTTGGGTGGAACATGAAAAAACCGCCCACTCTGAGGCAGTGAATGAGATGGCAGCTTGGACGTGCACCCGGCGGGTTGTCCGCAGTGTTGCGTGCCTCGCGGCGGTCCGCGGTGCGGAACGGATGGGGGCTGATCCGGCGATCTGCTGCGGTGAAGATCGCCACCCTAGGAGACCAACAGAGGTTGAAGGACCCGTAGTTCGCCTATCCCAGTCTGGTACCCCAGGTGACGGGTCCTATTTACGGTCACTTAACCTGTCTTGGGAGGCACCATTGATTTCATGAGTTCATCGAACCAACCCTGAGTTTTACGAAGCACTTTTCGAATCAAGTCAATGGTGAGGTGTCTTGGTAGTGGTTTTAAATGGTTTTGGAAGGCTTGGAGCCCATCATTCATCATCATTCATTCTTGGCTAATTAATAAATTAGGTGAAGATAGTTCTCAGACGGCTTCCAGGATTCCTACGCATTCAAGATGGTGTTCAATCATTGCCCAGAAAATCCCAGAGCAGCATGGCTGTTAGAAGCTGGTCGAGCGACTCAACGGATTTTCCCCTATGCAAAATCCGCTGTCCAATGGATCCAAGCCAATCACAGTGCCAATCACTACTCTAGCCCTAGACACCCCCGCAACTCGGGGTGTCGTACAGACAAAAACGTTCCGATATGAGGTGATATAAGGGGTATCCTTAACCACCCCCTGGCCCTGGGGGCGGATAGTCCTTGCCCCATGGCCCAGGACTCCTTTCTGCGGAAGATGTCACTGGTGCTCGAGGAAGCAGGTCGAGGCCGGTCCAAGGGCCGGTCGACGCCCCAAGCGACCGGCCCTACCGTGGTTTCACGACGGAACTGACATATCTGGATCTGAGCTGTTTATGCCACATGTCTGCCGAACTTGGCTGCGTTTTGAGTGGATGAACAGGTGAACATTTGTCACAGTTGGAAGATCCAGGTATATGCCTACCAGTTGGCTTTCTTTTTTTAAACCACTCCTGGCCTGATCGGGAGTCATATGCCAATCCCATGAAGTGCTGGAGTGCTTGGGAATTAGATGGTGCTGGGGAGTCCCAAAATGTCTTTTGGATGAGGGGGTCCTTTTCAACCACCCAACTTAGGGGTAACTTGTGCCTGGTGCCATCTACTCTAAACCGCTGTACTCGTAGATCTTCCAACAAAATTGATGCCTCCTCATTTGTCAAGCCAGGATAAGCATTGCTCATATAGTTGGAAGATCTACAGGATCCTGCGGGTATCATTTTCTTCCAACACACACTGCAAGTGGGTGACACCATCGAAAGCAGACCGACCCACAACCACATCCGTGGAAAAAAACACGTGCCAAAAGGCTTAAGGGCTTAGGTCAACCACACCTCCGGCGCGCAAGCCTAATTAGATTGCCAAATAGGACGAGAAGACATTGCAGTGCGCCAGAAGCCTTCGTCTCAGTGTGCTGTTTTGTGGAGTGGCTTGTCACTGTGAGGACTGGAGAGCAAAGCTCCGTAAAGGGGGCAACAACCAACTTCAAGCAACATGGGCACCAACAGTTCGATGTCGGGGTTCCTAATCAAGGACAAGTGGGCACCCATGATCCACTCAATGGATGGGACAAAAGCCACCTCTTTGGAACTGCTGGTGTGTAGAATCATGTCGATGGTTCATGGCTCACAAGGGATGATGCCACTCGAAGTTTGGTGCAGCACCAAATGATCATTATCCAAGTGGCGGTATCCACATGTATCCACCTTGCGATGTCTTCGCCCAAGTGGTGAAGTTAGATCCAACTAACTTACTATCCAACTTATTGTCCAACTAACCTTAGAGTGGTCAAGTTATTATCCAACTGGTTCTTGCCCCCCACTCTTTGGCATTCTCCTCCACCCTTCTCCGCCTTCTCCGCAGGCAGCTATACCTTAGTCGTCACGAAAGCCGGCTTCGGCCAGCGGGGACGTTTGGCCATGGTGGCTCTCAGTGGCCTGGTGGCCTTTCACAACGCAGCCGCGCGGCGAAACCGGCGAGTTCCGTGCCAGGGCGTTGGAACTGCCCAGGGGGTCACCGTGGTGACCGTGGTGGTGGGAGTCGGCACAGACTGGGGCTGCATCTTTCGGTGGATGTCTTAGCATGTCGACGCTGGATTGAATGGAGCAGCTCCAGACATGGATTGTCCAACCTCTTTCAGGGAGATGGACATATCCAAGAGTCTAAGACGTCTATGAGACATGTTCTATCATTTGCTCTTGACTTATGATTATTTAGCTTGGTTATTATACTCTACTATGAGACAGAATCGGAGGACCTTTCCCACCATGTTCGACCCGAAACTCCTTCTGCCTCGCACCGAGGTGGGCCACTGCCGCGCGGTGCTTTGCGCCTCCGGCACCCTGGTCCGGCTTCCCGGCTTCCGGGAGGACGCGAGGAGTCTGAAATGGAGCCTGAGACATCGTGTGGAACACAAGAGAGGTAGCCACCGGGACCATAGGACCCAGAACACCTGGGGCCTATGGGCTAGTCTATACGGGTACCGTTTTTGGGGAGAGATGGAGAGGCTGAGAAACCATTGCCAGGACCCGACTCTACAGGTCACCAAGGAAGAGACCTCCAACAGGACCCATCCCAACCCTCAACTAACGACCTGGCAGTGAGGGTGCTGGTTGTTAGACATTTAACTTGACACTCCTCTTGATGATGCTCAGGCACCTTTCCCTCTCTTCAAGCGCGAGCTGGGGCTGGAGCTTGAAGGACGGGTGGGCTTAGCTGGAGCAGAAATGAAGGATTTCTTTGACCTATCTTCCTCTCACTCTCTCATCCTCCACCAGAACCGCCACCAAGGTCTTCATCAAATCCTCAAATCTCAGAACGATGTACCAAGGTTGTTCTGAGTGTCTTCCACCAAGGTCACATACTCTCTCATCCTCTTAAATGGCATTCTCTGCCACCAAGGTCTTCCGGGATCAAATCTCAGCCACTGGCCACAGAACGAGCAGCAACACCACCCGCCACTGGCCACAGGAGCAGAGCCTACGCTGTTCTCCAGCCGAGTTGTGGCAGAAGAGATCGGGCAGCCACTTGGCCAAGCAGGTAAGGGGATGCCTTTGAGGGAGAATCTCCTTCTTATGTGTTCTCTTTGAATGTGTTTGATTCATTCAAGGGGAGAATCCCCCTTACCTTTGGATGAATTGTTGTTCTCTTTGAACGTGTTTGATTCATATGCTTAAATGTGTATAATACATCCTTGGGTCAAATGTTGCCATTGTTTACCATCTTAGACCTTTGAACCGCTCATAGAGAAAGGTCTAGATATTGAACATTGCCTGTGGTATTTTTTGGCGTGTCAAGATATTCGCAGCTCCACTTAGGGGAGCATGATGGGAGCTGTTACTGTACCAGTTTCAGAAGATGTCCATGATTTCAGATGGAGGAGTTGTAATGGATTCCACAGGGCTTGCCCTCGGTTGCACAGGAGTTATCATCGATTGCAGGGGAGTTGTCATCGGTTGCGCAGACGTTATCATCGATTTCACCGGGGGAATCCCATCATGGGATTCAAGATGCTTCAAGGAAGTTGGTTGGAATTTGTAGCTTAGTCCGTCGATTGCTAAAAAGCGAAGACGGACCAAGGAGGCACGGCACTTGCTCTCAAAGCCCTCTTCCCCAGAACACGGCTTGTCGATGGTCGATCACAAGGCCCGGACACTCCCATGTAAGCAATACTATGCTTACACTGATCCCTCAAATCCACCCCAAGGTTTAACGTCCCTGTGGTTTGAGTGTGCTTGGAGTTTAAAGGAGATTGAGAAGCCGGCCCCCATGGAATTGCGATGAGTGCACCATTTTGGGAAAAGACATTTTGGAAACCAACCATATATATAGGTAAAATGTGCCAGTCCCATGCTGTTGCGGCTTCTTTTTTCCGGGCCTCTTCCCATCTTCTGGAGTCCAGACTGCGAGCTCTGAGGTCACCCCACGTGAGCCGGAGGCTCAAGGTCTTGGCCATCAAAGCCGTGGAGGGCCAGAAGCTACTGGAAGGTCGAACCCAGACGACGGAGTTCGATTCGTGCCGATCGGGTCCGGCTTGCCGCGTTCAGCCACCAACCCTGGGGTCCACGACCCTCGGAGGGTCGGGGTGACCCGGACTTTCCCCCCCAGTTCTTCAGAGCTGCGACCATCCGGAAGTTCAGGGCCATGAACGATGAAGCACCGTTGGGGCCCCCTGCTCTTGGCCTGGCGGTTGGGGCCCCCTGCTCTTGGCCCTTCCCTTGTGCCTCACCCCGGATCCTTGGGAGGGTTTTTGCGTGAAGATTGGATCATCATCCATGACTGGCAGGGTCAACGCCAAAGCCGGGAGATGCGCGGATCTCCAACCGGGTTCCCTGCTGCGGCGTGGGCATCTCCCGGCCCAGCGGCGTGGGATCAACCAACCTTTTTTACTCCAACGTGGAGGGAAGATGGGTGGCCTGCTACGCTGGTTTGGAAGATGAGTGATGAGTGGGTGGTCGGTTTGCTTTTGAGAGATTGAGAGAGTGCCATGCACGGTGCTTTCGATCGTGATCTTATTTTGTTTAATCATGGAATGGCCAAGCTATCCTGAGCTGCGAGCTGTTTCGAACTCAGGCTACGTTACTCACTTGAGTGATCAAAAAGAAGCCATGAGCAAGTGCAAATGTTGCACCATGTTGCACCATCCACGTGTCCACTCAATTGTGGCCTGGCCTTTGTGTTGTTGCAGGTTTTTGTAGGGCATCCAAGATGGTGACGCAACCTTTCTCCCATTGGTGGGCCCAACTCCACTCAGATCGAGAGTCAAGAGGGCACGGCACGAGTTACTGCGGCCCAGTTGTACCACCTGAAGGTCTAGTGGATCCGGTCTCACGGACCGACCTGGACGCTGCACTCCAAGGCTCAGTTCCACTCGCAGCTTTCGGGCCCAGCATGGGGCTCAGTATTTGTCTTCCTTGGCGAAGGTCCTTCAGTTGCTCCTGCCAGCGCCTTGGGACGACCATCGGAAACGTTTCCGGGTTTGGGACGGTTTCGGGTGGGACCTGCGCGATGGGGTGATGGTGGATGGGTAACCAGAAGCTCATTGATTGAGTACCACCTACAGCGGTTAAGTGACCTGAACTAGGACCCGTCACCAGGAGTACCTATAGGATAGTCTATAGGGTTCTTCAACCTTTGCTGGTATGTTCTTCTTGCCTTGTACCAGAGCCCACTTTCCGTGAGGTCGCGTAAGACGTCGGGCATCGGAAATCTCATCGAGAACGTCCATAACCCGTGGATCACATGACCGGGCAGGCGGTCAGCTGCTTTGGTCAGCTGCTTGTTCATCTGTGCCATAGGACTGCCGAGAAACGGCCAGGGGTGGTTTTGGGGGTCAATGCATATATGGCATACATGGAGTGTTTGGGTTAGTGAATCTCCCTCCTCAAGGTTTGGAGCCCTAGGGGTAAACATAGGATTTGTTTATCCCCCGCTTTTCGTTTGGTCCGCTTTGGGGCCTCCAACCATAAACAATAGACTCAATAGACATCAACATAAGTTCTCAACAGACCTTCTGGCCCAACGTGTTTAAATGTTGCACTACCAAACCACAAATTAGTTTGGTCCAGCGTTTTTGGTGTCAATGTTTGTTTACCCTATGGATCCACATACCTCACCTCAGAAGGCAATTGGACCCTCCTGGCGCCTACATACATAGTCTCCAATCACCGTACCTCAGGTTCGGTATGTGGATCCATAGGGTTAAACACTAACAGCCTTGCTGGCCTTCTTTCGGAAACCACGCCAACCCCCCCAAGAGGTGGTTGAGGCGGGTTGCCATCGAACTGTTCTGACCAGTGGATCGAACAGAAGAGTGATAGATAGGCTTGGTTGATTGAAGTTGATTGTGTTCCTGTAGGTGGATGCCCTTCTAGGGGAAACGTTTGTGCATGTTTCCGGAACCCACATCCGCGAATCCCAATATCTCCTGCGTTTCAACGGACCGTCATCTCGACTCGGGTTTTGACAGACTCCTCGTAAAATCGGACATACCCGAGGCCGTGCCCCATGGCAAGCTCATCTTCTTTCCCTCGCACGAGCAGTTGGCCGATGCGGTGAATCATTGGCAGCGCCTGGCGCTGCTGCAGCGCGGCGCTGCCGGCGGCTTCGATCGTTTGGGTGGCATCCCGGTGGTCATTGCCGCTGGGCCACCCGAGGGTTCGACGGTGAGGAAGATGTGGTACCCAGACACGACTAATGGGACTGCCATATATGCCGAGAAACGGCCAGGGGTGGCTTTGGGGGTAGGCATATATGGCATACATGGAGTGTCTGGGATATACCGGAAGAATGATCTGTTGCGCCGGGTTTGGGCAGATTAAAGGTCTACATTCTTCGCGTTCGTCGAGCGAAGGGAGATTGGAACACCGCCTTTGATTCTTCGGCCCCACCGGGGCCCTCGGGACACCTGACACGATCAATCTCATTATCCTATAATCTATGTCCTGCTTGCTCCGGTGAGGTGGAACCAACATCTTTTGAATGTGTTGAAACTACCGGGTTAAAGTACAGGTTCCGGTTTTTACACAGGTTTACATGTTCCCCTTCAGGTTTCTGCATGGATCCATGCAAACGCCTGTGCATGACGACGCGTGCCGGTGAGTCCATGGTGGGATCGAAAAGCAGTGCCACCGAAAAGCGGCTCAAAAAGTACCTCGGAAAATGGGTACAAGTACCTGTGTGTGTGTGTGTGTCAAGCCCTGTTTCTAAGGGTCCACCGGTTCTCTCGCAGGGGGATGAGGATCCCTTGGTGTGCCTCATCTAACAAAGACCGCACCAAGTGGATGTGATATCAGTGCCCGGCCAGCACTGACGTACCTGCCTTTCAATGTTTAAGCCTTTTCTGCAGTCGCACATTAAGCTTTTGGCCCTGCTTCCTCTTGAAGACCTCCAGGCCCCAGAGGTTTACTTGCGCTTGCTGTGAAACTTTGGTTAAACAACACCGTTTTCGCTGACCTTTTCACCTTACGTTTCCCTCACCTTCCTTCTCATCGTGGCAATTGAGTTAACAGCAAACCAATGTCAGAGTGTGAGCCGCTCAGCCGTCCCACTTAGGTGCTGGGTGTGATCCCCTTCACTGGGGCGCTGAATTCACGCTGGA